GGAAGCACTCAAGGGCTTCATATCCTAGTAGAGTGAATAAGAGGGCCAATACCCCATTTTCTTTAGTTCACTCTGATGTTTGGGGACCGTGTCGAGTTTCATCCACTTTGGGTTTCTCATATTTTGTTGTCTTCATTGATGATTTCTCTCGATGCACTTGGGTTTTTCTAATGAAGAACCGTTTTGAATTATTTGATGCGTTTCAAAAATTCTACAATGAAATTGTGAATCAATTTGGGGCATCTCTCAAAATCTTACGCAGTGATAATGCAAGAGAATATTTTTCTGACCTTTTCACTTCTTTCTTTTCCTCAAATGGAATACTTCATGAATCATCATGTGCTAGAACTCCTCAACAGAATGGAGTTGCTGAACGAAAAATTCGTCATCTTGTTGAAACAGCTCGTACTTTGCTTATTCATAACAAGGTACCTAAGAATTTTTGGGGGCATGCTATACTTCACTCTTGCTATCTCATAAATCGTATGCCTTCCTCTGTTTTGCAAGGAAAAATTCCTCTTCATATCTTACGTCCACAGGAATCTCTCCATAAGCTTCCATTGCGAATCTTTGGGTGTACTTGCTTTGTTCATAATACTTCTCCAGGGCGTGATAAACTTGATGCCAAGGCAATAAAATGTGTTTTCCTTGGGTATTCTCGCCTCCAAAAAGGCTTTAAGTGTTACTATCCTAGAACACACCGGTTTTATACCTCTTCCGATGTTACCTTTTTTGAAACAACACCTTTTTTCTCTTCCACCTCCGTTGAGTCTAATTTCCTAGGGGAACTCATTGAAATCACAGAAATTCTCCATGTTCCTACTTTCTCAGAACCTATATCTCCCACTGTTCCTGAAAGGACCATACCTATTCCTGAAAGAACTATTCCAACTCCAACCATTCAAGAGGAAGGACATATTCCACCGTTGTTGTACACCTACCAACGACGCAATCGTCAAGATTCCCAAGAGGATAGACATCCAGTTGAGTCATGTTCTACATCATTGTTACCCAATGATGCTGCCCAAAACACCACGACAGACTCTCCCATTGCCAGTCGGGTAGGTAAAAGATCCACTCGAAATCCTTACCCTATCTATAATTTCCTTTCACAAAAACGTCTGTCTCCATCATATTGTGCCTTCATTGCTAGTTTGTCAACTGCTTTTGTTCCAAACAATGTCAAGGAGGCATTAACTAATCCAGGGTGGACTCAAGCAATGGTTGATGAAATGAATGCACTACATTCTTCCGGGACTTGGGAGTTAGTACCTTTACCTCCTGGTAAAACTGTGGTTGGTTGTAGATGGGTGTATAATGTGAAGGTTGGTCCAGATGGACAAGTTGATAGACTCAAAGCTCGACTTGTGGCTAAAGGATACACACAGGTTTTTGGCATTGACTACACGGATACCTTCTCACCGGTGGCCAAGATCACTTCTATCCGCCTCTTACTCTCAATGGCAGCCAACCATCACTGGCCACTGTATCAGTTGGATATAAAGAATGCCTTCTTACATGGGGATCTGAATGAGGAAGTGTATATGGAGCAGCCACCTGGATTTGTGGCTAAGACAGGAGTTAATCTTGTTTGTCGTCTTAAGCGCTCTCTCTATGGGTTGAAGCAATCTCCACGTGCCTGGTTTGGGAGATTTAGAGATGTGATCCAACAATTTGGCATGATTCAAAGCAAGGCTGACCATTCTGTTTTCTATAAACATCTACTTGGAAAAAGTATATATCTTGTGGTTTATGTTGATGATATTGTCATTACAGGGAATGATAGTGAAGGAATAAATCAGCTTAAGAAACATTTGTTTCAACATTTCGAGACAAAGGATCTTGGAAAATTGAAATATTTTCTTGGTATTGAAGTTGCTCAATCCAAACAAGGTATCTATGTGTCTCAACGAAAATATGTTTTGGATATTCTTGAAGAAACAGGAATGACAAATTGCAAACCAGTTGACACACCCATGGATCCAAATGTCAAACTTCTTCCAAGACAGGGGGAGCTCCTATCCAATTCAAGTAAGTATCGGAGATTAGTTGGCAAGCTATTGTACTTGACTATCACTCGACCAGACATCTCCTTTGCTGTAAGTGTAGTTAGCCAATTTTTGCAAGAGCCATGTCAAAGTCATTGGGATGCAGTCGTCAGAATATTGAGATATGTGAAAAGGTCTCCAGGTACAGGGTTGCTCTATAAAGATCATGGACATACAGAAATTGTTGGCTATTGTTGAAACCCTAGGCCCGTTACAGTGGCCCATTAGGTTATAGCTAGTTTTTCAGTATAAATTATTGTAATCTGTACAGTTCTACGTTGAGAAATAGATGAAACCCTTCACACTTTCACATGGTATCAGAGCCTAAACCCTAGATAGTTTTTCCCCTCCCTTCCCCGCCGCCGCGCCGCCGCCGCCACCGGAGTTTCACTGCCGCCGCGACTGGTCTTCTCTCTCCGACCTCTGCCTGGTGGTTCTTCTCCCAAACCGAGACCACAGGCCTCACCGGAGCTCCGTCGCGAGTCTGTGCCCAGAGTCCGGTCGCCATCCGCCGCCGCACGCGCCGCCACGCGCCGTCGCCGTCGCCGGGAACCGCCGCTGTTTTCCGGCCATAACTCTCTCCTCCGATCTCCGATCGAGACGCCGTCACCACCATTGGACTCGTCTCGACGAGACGCTTCCAGGAGTGTTGACCGTTTTCCTCGCCACCGCCCGCCGCCGCCGTTCTCTGGCCACCGCCGCCGCCGCCGCCGGTCACCGCCGGTCAAAGAGAAACAGACAGCGTGTTTTTTCTTTGTGGGTAATCTCTATGGCTTCCTTTACCTCTTATCCCACCATTACTATGGACAAATTGGTTGGGAGTGAAAACTACACTTCGTGGGCCGCTTCTGTGACACTCTGGTTCAAAGGCCAGGGGATGTCTGATCATCTAACCAAAAAGGTTGGGGAAATTGAAGAGTCGAAGAAATCAGATTGGGAGAAGTCAGACGCGTTATTGTGCAATATGTTGTGGCAATCCATTGACCCTAAATTATATCTTATTTACAAGTCTTATGACACTTGTTATGATGTGTGGAATAAAGCTAAGTCATTGTATACTAATGATATCCAAAGGCTATATTCCCTTGTATCTAATATGCTTAATTTCCGTTCCACTGCTGATATGAGTACACAGGATTTCTTGGGTCGGATGGAAGCTTTACAGCAGGAGTATCATAATTTACTTCCATATCAGGAGACGTCAGAAAGTCATATGAAGCAGTATGATAAGTTCTTTATGGTGATGACCTTGGCTACCCTTCGGCCTGACCAGGTTCACATTCGTGATCAGATTTTATCCAGTCCTAGTGTGCCTACCTACACTGACGCTGCTGCCAGACTGCTTCGTATTGCCTCAACTCCCTCAGTTGAACCTATTGGAGAGTCATCAGTTCTAGCTACTCGGGCTGTGGATAGAGGACCTTCTGGACCATCTAGTGGTGGTGGTGGTCGTCGTGGCAAACGTCCTCGGTGTGAATACTGCCACAAAGATGGTCATACCAAAGATCGTTGTTGGAAGTTACATGGTCGGCCTCCCCGTTCTGTTAATCTGGCCCAGGCTGCTGCATCCGAGAGTCAGACTCATGAGCCAACCTCTACCCCAGTTGAGATGACCTCTAGGGAATATGAAGAGTATCTCCAACTTAAAGCAGCATCCCGCCTTGAATCTTCCACACCTAATGCTGGTACTTCCTCTTTGGTTTGTCTTTCACACGCCAATACTCCAAACTCTTGGATATTGGACTCAGGTGCTTCAGATCATATTTCTGGTAACCTTTCTCTTTTGCATAATGTGTCTAAGTCTAAGACTTTACCCATGGTCACCTTAGCTAATGGTCATCAAACACCAGCAATTGGTGTTGGTCAGGCTTCCCCTATATCGTCTTTTTCCTTGGAGTCTGTTTTATATGTCCCTAACAGTCCCTTCAACCTTATCTCTGTGAGTAAAATTACCCGTACTCTCAATTGTTCCATAACCTTTTGTGCTGATTCGGTTGTTGTGCAGGATCGCAGTACGGGGAGGGTGATTGGCACCGGCAATGAGTCACAGGGCCTCTATTACATGCGGGGTGGTGATGTTGCTGCTTCTGCCTCTACAGAGTCTCCTTTACTTATTCATAGTCGTTTGGGTCATCCTAGTCTCTCTAAACTAAAACGGATGGTCTCAGGTCTGTCTGTTGAGTCTTTTGATTGTGAGTCGTGTCATCTTGGAAAGCAATCACGTCAGTCTTTTCCGAGAAGAGTCAATAATCGGGCTGCGTCCCTCTTTGATTTAGTTCATTCAGATATATGGGGTCCTTGTCGTGTCAACTCTATTTTGGGTTTTCGTTATTTCGTAACCTTTATTGATGATTATTCAAGGTGCACTTGGGTTTTCCTTATGAAAGATCGTTCTGAATTGTTTCAGATTTTTCAAACTTTTTGTGCTGAAATACAAACTCAATTTGGCAAACTCATTCGTGTTTTGCGTAGTGATAATGCTAAAGAATATCTCTCTCATCCTTTTCAGTCATATATGACATCTCGTGGTATATTGCATCAAAGGTCATGTGTTTACACACCTCAGCAGGATGGGGTGGCTGAGCGTAAGAATAGACATCTAGTAGAAATTGCCCGTACTATGTTGTTACACTCCCATGTTCATTCTCAATTCTGGGCTGATGCTATCCTTACTGCTTGTTACCTGATCAATCGCATGCCATCTTCTGCTCTTAACAATGACACCCCATATTCCATTGTGTGTCCTTCTGTTGATCCTTTCCCTATTCAACCTCGTGTTTTTGGGTGTGTTTGTTTTGTTCATGACATGACTCCAGGTCGATCCAAATTAGATCCTAAAGCAGTCAAGTGTGTCTTTTTGGGTTATTCCCGTGTCCAAAAGGGTTATTGGTGTTATTCTCCAGCACTAAAGCGTCACTTTGTATCCGCAGATGTCACCTTTATTGAGTCCACACCATTTTTCCAGTCCTCATCAGGAGACACGATCCCTGTCTCTGAGGTGCTCCCCATACCTTATCTTGGTCCACTTCCTCTTGTCCAGTCCACTGTTCCTCCAGCTCAACCGACTCCTCTTAACCCGCCCCTTCAGGTTTATCACCGGCGTCCTCGCCCTGCAGTTCCTGAGGTCCCTAGTGACTTGCCAGTACTGTCCGATCCTCCGGCTGCGGTTCCACCACTTCCACTGCAATCTGACACTGATCTCACTGAGGCACCTATTGCTGTTCGAAAAGGTACACGTTCTACTCGTAACCCCCATCCTATATATACCTTTCTGAGTTATCACCGTGTCTCATCCCCTTACTTTGCATTTCTTTCTCACCTATCTTCTGTGTCTATACCCAAATCCACTCGTGAGGCTCTCTCGGATCCAGGTTGGCGTCAAGCCATGTTAACAGAAATGGAGGCCCTCCAGTCTAGTGGCACGTGGGAGTTGGTTCCTCTTTCTCCTGGTAAAACTGTGGTTGGTTGTAGATGGATTTATACGGTGAAAGTGGGCCCTGATGGCGCAATTGATCGTCTTAAGGCTCGTATGGTGGCAAAAGGCTATACTCAGATTTTTGGTTTGGATTATACTGATACTTTTTCCCCGGTTGCTAAAATTGCTTCAGTTCGTTTACTTTTGTCTTTGGCAGCCATTCATCATTGGGACTTACAGCAGCTGGATATCAAGAATGCCTTTCTTCATGGTGATCTTCACGAGGAGGTTTATATGGAGCAACCACCTGGGTTTGTTGCTCAGGGGGAGTCTGGTATGGTATGTAAACTTCGCCGTTCTTTATATGGTTTAAAGCAATCTCCACGAGCTTGGTTTGGAAGGTTTAGTTCTGTGGTGTGTGAGTTTGGTATGACAAGAAGTGCATTTGATCATTCTGTTTTCTATCGTCATTCTAATGAGAAATGCATATACCTTGTAGTATATGTGGATGACATTGTTATTACAGGGAGTGATCAAGAGGGCATATTTCAGTTGAAGGAGTATCTCTTTAGTCGGTTCCAGACTAAGGATTTGGGTAAGCTAAAATACTTTCTTGGAATTGAAGTGGCTCAATCTAGCAGTGGTGTTGTTATTTCTCAAAGGAAGTATGCCTTGGATATCTTAGAAGAAACTGGCATGCTGGACAGTAGACCGGTTGATAATCCAATGGATCCGAATGTTAAACTCCTACCAGGACAGGGGGAGTCATTGCCTGACCGAGAGCGATATAGGAGATTGATTGGAAAACTGAATTATCTCACGATCACACGACCGGATATCTCCTTCGCAGTTAGTGTGTTGAGTCAGTTTCTTGAGACACCTTGTGATTCTCATTGGGATGCTGCTGTTCGTGTTCTAAGGTATATCAAGAGAGCACCAGGACAAGGCTTAGTATACGAAGATAGAGGACATTCACAAGTTGTTGGGTATTGTGATGCAGATTGGGCTGGTTGCCCGTTTGACAGACGCTCTACTTCAGGTTATTGTATTCTCATTGGAGGTAATCTCATATCTTGGAAAAGTAAGAAGCAGGATGTGGTTGCTAGGTCCAGTGCTGAAGCAGAATATCGAGCCATGGCGCTTGCCACATGTGAGCTTATGTGGCTTAAACACCTACTACAAGAATTGCAATGTGGCAATGTTGCCCAAATGACGTTGATATGTGACAATCAAGCAGCTCTACACATCGCGTCAAATCCTGTTTATCATGAGAGGACTAAACACATTGAGGTTGACTGTCACTTCATTAGAGAGAAGATTGTGTCAGGGTGTATTAAAACTAGCTTTGTTAATTCTGCAGATCAGTTAGCTGATATCTTGACGAAATCCCTTAGAGCTCCTAGAGTTGAATATATTTGTAACAAGCTGGGAGCTTATGATCTATACTCTCCAGCTTGAGGGGGAGTGTTACTCTCCTAGAGCTCCCGTTACAGTGGCCCATTAGGTTATAGCTAGTTTTTCAGTATAAATTATTGTAATCTGTACAGTTCTACGTTGAGAAATAGATGAAACCCTTCACACTTTCACAGCTATACAGATGCAGATTGGGCTGGATGTCCTTGGGATAGGAGATCAACATCAGGATATTGTATTCTATTTGGAGGTAATCTTGTCTCTTGGAAAAGTAAGAAACAAGATGTGGTTGCACGCTCAAGCGCAGAAGCTGAATACCGAGCAATGGCACTTGGAATATGTGAGCTAATTTGGGTTAAACAACTTCTTACAGAACTCAATTTCTATAAGCATGGTCCTATGAAATTAATTTGTGATAATCAAGCAGCACTCCACATTGCGTCTAATCCTGTCTACCATGAAAGGACTAAACATATTGAGGTTGATTGCCACTTTATACGAGAGAAGGTCGCATCCGGAGACATTGTTACCACATTTGTTGGGTCAAATGATCAACTTGTTGATGTTCTCACCCGGAGACATTGTTACCACATTTGTTGGGTCAAATGATCAACTTGTTGATGTTCTCACCAAATCTCTCCGTGGACCTAGGATTGAATACATTTGTAGCAAGCTGGGAGCTTTTGATTTATACGCTCCAGCTTGAGGGGGAGTGTTGGAATATTAAAAGTCTTGGGCAGCTCACTAGCCTTAGTAATTAAATGGGCAGCTCACAAGCCTCAGTAATTAAAGCCTTGGGGAGATGAGTAGTTTCTTTATTTATTATTGTTTACTTTTGTAGACCTATATATAGACTTGTAACTTGAAGTTAGATACAATACAAGAACCCTTTCTAGCTTTTAACAGGGATAAGGGTCAAATAGGCTCTCAAACTATTGTTCATGAGCAGGGAACAGAAAGCAAACCTTTTCCAACACCTTCAAGCAATATTTCAGCACACTCTAAAACTGGCTCATAAACATTCTCAGGAAACATTACATGCCCATATCTAGAGGTAGCATATCCCATGTCTCTTGCAAGCTCAATCTGAAACCACCTAAATACAATCAGCAAACATCATAGAAAATAAGTTATATAAAGTTCAAAACATCAGAAAGAAAAAGGCCAATAAAACCTATTGCCTCTTATGAGAAATCATTTTACAGCATAAACAATAAAATAAAGCCATCTCATTAGAATAAAAACAGTTCAAGCGATATTAATATTAATATTTAGATATTAATTTCCAGTTATTACTAATCAAAGTTTCCTTAAGTTGGGTGATTTTACCTCAAATTTCTTGTTCTCTCTAGGTGTTTTTATATGGTTATTTGCACATTCTCGACATGCTGTTTAGGTAGGATTATAATGGTTAACCAATTTCCACAACTGCTATTCCAAATAAACCCACATGTGAATTCTAACCTGTAAACTAGCATCTGGTCCCTGTGTCCACCAACTTGCACAAGCATCAAACTGTTGAACAATTGAATCCGCATTCTTGACCTACAAGAAATTCAAAGAAAACTATAAGCATGCAGAGGTAGGAATCTACATGCCCATATGACATATAACAATGATATAGTTGCACTAGTAGTGATGACTTAAAACTAAAACAGGCAGGGGACAGGAAAAAAGACTTTAAGTAACAAAAGAACACTACAATGTATGATATGTGAACCTCGTATTATCAATCAATAACTTTTTTATCGCATCTGAGTTTTTGATAGCATGCTTACAATGAATGCAAAACAAGATATGAATAAACTATTATGATAACTATATTTTTCAGATATAATGAAGTGAATGATGCAGCATTAAGAGAACTCTTTCTGCAACAAATGCTGAACCACTGACCTTGTGCACTGCAAAGTTCTCCCCACAGCGTGAATCAATCATCGTAACCTGTTCTTCAGATACAAGTTTATGTTGAGTAAACGGCCACCAGAAAATTTCCCGTGCCTTCTTTGTCATGTAATGGAATCGCTCTAGTCTTTCACGAGATGCTAAGCACATTATTTCCTGAAGATAATTAAAGATGTCCTGGGATTGATAAAACCATTCCATAAGATTATTCGACATTTCTTGTGGAACAGGTGGAAGCACGAGCACAGGGACCCTGAAAGTTGAAGACAATAAATCTCTTTCTATCTTGTTTCTTATTTTTATCTCGTCTTTCATTGTCTCTTTCTTTTTCAACTCTTGATATAAAGCGTAAATATAATGATAATAGAACAGATATATACAAAACGTCAAGCATAGAATGAAGAAGTAAATGCATGGAAACAGTATACCATAAACAAGGATCACATAAGGATGAAGAACCAGGAACGTACTCTTCAACTACAGCATAAAAGCATGAATTCTTCTCAATGATACAATGAAATAGTGAGGTTGATAGAAAATATTTTACCTATCCCGCAAGTAAGACAATAGTGGTGCCTCATTTAGAAGGCCATGGTCTTCAAAGACAATAGCAACAACATCGTAACCACGAAGCTTTAGTGTCTCATAGGCCGAAATGGTTGCAGAAATACCACCTAGTTTTCCATCACCAACAAGAATTGCTGGCAAACGAAAAGGCCTGCAGAAGAATATACGGAAAAGAATGAGGCAGAATTAAATAGCTTCAAACCAGACAAATTACAGTAAGACTTATTAGGGTGTGTTTAGTTTAGGGGGTAGACACAAAGGAATGGGAATAAAAGTCATACACATTGGTTGACAACTTTCTAAAGCACAGATATAAGATTTGATTACCACTATAATTACAAAATCCATTACCTAATTTAAATCAAGTATTATTCCATTAATTCAGCCTTATCTCTCCTTATTTCATTGCCTCCTCACTCATCTTTCCTCACTTCATCAACTTCCTCACTACATTGCCTACTCACTTCATCGTTACTTAGTTCAATTGTCTTGATTTTTTATTTTTCTATTTTTAAAACTTTTTTTTTCCTATTATAGAGTCATACATAACCACTGAAAATCATTCCAATTCCACCACCCTACCGAACATATGCAAAATACATTCACCAAAACCTATACGAATTACCAAGTATTGGATTCCAATTCTCGTGAACCAAACACATCCTAAATTCATTCTAAAAAGTCATACCAAAAACTGCAAAATTAAATGTAAAGAAAGGGCGAAATCAAATAATAACACACCGGAATAAGTCACATTGGAGTGAACCTGAGGGGCCAGGACTGGCAACACCGCCAGCAGTCTCAACCACGCACATCATATCCACATTTTTCCCACCCTTCTGAACCCAAGTCTCTGAGCCATTTCCCAAACAGCTTCCCAGCATTTCTAACAACTCAACATCGTCAACCCTAGCTCCTTCCTTCTCCGCAACCAAATGAGGCGACAGAGCCTCTCTCCACGCATACAAAGTCTTGCAAACCAGCTCCGAGGCACCCAATCCACCCGCATTTCCCAGCAGATTCTTCTCGCGCCAGCCCAAGTTCACAATTCCACTCCCACAGTTCCTGTTCAAGAGCTCCCCTGACGCCGAAGCTGAGGCTCGGAGGACATGATTAGAAGCGAGAACAGAGCGTTCAGGGCGGTGCAGAGACACGAACTCGGAGAATTTTTTGTAAACAAAGCGGGAGTCGGAATCCTGAGGAAAGCCAGTCTGAACGGGTTTGAAGTAGACGAATTTCCTCTGGGGAGCGGAGGAGAGAAAGGATATGGAGAGGCCGGCGGAGACCAATGTTTTGCCGAGGGAGGTGTTGGCAGCCCAAATGGTGTAGATAGGGTGGGTGAGAGGGTAGTCGACTTGAGTAGAGAGAAATCGAGGGTGGTGAAAACAGAGAAGATGAGAAAAGAGGCGGCCGCCACGGCGGAGGGAGGCAAAGAGAACGGAGGTGGGAGACATTATGCGACAGAGATGGACAGTGAACTAGCAAGCAGCAAACGCCCCCCAGGCCCCAACTTCCACAATTCAAATGTAGGGATAAAATTGGCCACCAACTTTGTAGAATTATACAATTTGTTATAAATATCTACTATTGATTGATGGCAATTATCCATGATCTTTCCATTGCCCCCTCTAAATTTTCTCCCCACGCCCCGGCCCCGTGATAATGTAAATTACTATAACTCAATATATAACTTATAAAAACGGTAATTTGTCCCGTCTCTAATAAAAATATTTGATTCTCACTCTGACAGAATAGGGGGATAAAAAAAATTCGGAGAACGAGAATGGTGACAAAAAATGTATGTAACTTCCAGTCGAGGACGGAGATAAGAATAGAGATACCCCTCCCTGCCCTGTCTCGCCCCGTCCCAGAATAATTATAATATATATATATATATATATATATATATATAGGTTTATGTACGGTTGAGGGTGCCAGGTGTGGTTGTGCGGTGAAAGAAGAATCATTGATTTTGCTTAAATCAACGTTTAGATTATCAAAATTAAATAAAAAATGTGGTGGTATTTTGGTAATTTTTTACATTTAGGTCAAATGTAAGGTGCATGAGTTTTGTATACAAGGTGCTTGAGTTTTGTATATAAGGTGTGTAGGTTTGCGCTTAAGGTGCGTGAGATTTGTGCTTAAGATCTGTGGGTTGTGTACTTAATGGTAGTAGTAGTTGAAACTTAAGGTGCGTGTATTTTGTGCTTAAGGTGCGTGAGTTTTGTGCTTAAGGTGCGTGAGTTTGTGCTTAATGTGAGTAGTTGCTGAAACTTAGGTGCGTGAGTTTCCTTCTTAATGTGTGTTGTTTCCATCTTAAAGTGCGTGATTTGTATGCTTAAAGTGTGTCAGTTATGTGAAACTTAAAGTGAACCATTTTTAAAACCTTAGGTGCGTGATTTGTGTTCTTAAGATGCTTTGTTATGTGTTTAAGGTGCGTGGTTGGTGTTCTTAAAGTGCGTGATTTGTGTTCTTAAGATGTTTTGTTTGTATGCTTAATGTGTGTGTTGTGTACTTAAAAGTGAGTCAGTTTAATGTTTAATGTGTGTTCAACCACACAATTTATTACTAATATACTAGATTAGACAACTTGTGAAATGTATTATACACTGAAATTGAGATAATCTTTTTTTTTCCCTCAATTTATTAGTAATATAGTGTTGCAAATATCCTACAATTTGAAAACTATACAAAAGTAGTTGGGACCATTTCGAAGTAGGAGCTGATATAAAAGCAAGTTTAACCGGTTTGTGTTGTTTTTGCTCAAATTTTTCCAGATTCATCAAGGAAAGAGAGGAAGCGGAGACACTAAATAAAGAGAGAGAAAAAAGAAAAGAAAAAAGTCAAAGCGGCCGCTATTGCGCCTGTTAGGGCGCATTAACATACACTAGTTAGTTGTGATTTTTATTTTTATTTTTTGTTAAATAACCAATGAGGCCTACTCAAAAAAAAAAAAAAAAAAAAAAAAAAAAAAAAAAAAAAACTCTTCTTCCCTAAGAATCCTAACCCTCTCTTTCCTACTTTCTCCCTTCTTCTTCCCTAAGAATCCTAACCCTCTCTTTCCTACTTTCTCCCTTGCGATCTGACTAAAA